CCTTGTGCTGTGCAGAAGAGGGGCAGTGCCTGGCAGCCCTGTGGGTGGTGGTGGCAGTGGCAGGTGTCACAGGGCCCAGCAGGGCCCGAGAGGCGAAAGCAGGTCCTTGGCTCCGAGGGAGGCGCCTCTCCCAGACCGGCCGCCTTCCCAGCGGGAGAGCCGCGCACACTGTTTCCAACAAAACCTCACGGGACACGGGCACGTGCACGCCATGCACACCTCCACAGGCCACGGAGTCTCGTCTTCCACGCTCTCCCTGACCGTTCAGCCACGGGAAGCCGGGTTTGGCCTGCGGGCCACGCAGGACCGGGGTGGCTGCCTCTGACCTCCCGGCTGTGGTTCACCGGCCCCTGGACAGGCCCAGCGACCAGGGTCCACGTGGCTTACCACCTTCCGTGCTCGCTGGTCCGTGTCCTCCTCTCCCGGCCTCAGCCTCGTCCGTCTCCTGCCAAACCCGGAGCCTCGTGGCTAGAGCTGCACCCTGGGCAGGGGATCCTGCCGGCGTGCGTGCGTGCGTGCGTGCGTGCGGGCTTATCAGGTGATAGCTGGGCAGGATTTTATTTTATTTTATTTTTAAATATGCTTTACTGATTTTTTACAGAGAGGAAGAGAGAGGAATAGAGAGTTAGAAACATCGATGAGAGAGAAACATCGACCAGCTGCCTCCTGCACACCCTGCTCTGGGGATGTGCCCATAACCAAGGTACATGCCCTTGACCGGAATCGAACCCGGGACGCTTCAGTCCGCAGGCCGACGCTCTATCCACTGAGCCACACTGGTTTTGGCGCTGGGCAGGATTTCAGTGATCTGTCTTGGAAAATACTTCAATGAGTTTCCTGAAAATAGTATATACCTCTGGTAAAAAATTTGATCTGAAAAACATAAAGAATATTAAAAAACATCACCAAAGGTGACAGCGTTAGCGTTTTGACAAAGACCTTTCCGGGGCCCTCTGAGAACAGTGATGTCAATGCACGAGTCGATCTAAATGTGATATTTGGCAGGCAACACGAATCCTGCTCTTTCTCGCCAGTAGTAAAGGGTGGGCTCTTTCCGTGTGAACAGATGCAGGCGTATTGAAAGTGACCGAGTGAGCATGTGTCAGTGGCAGAGTGACCAAGTGAGCATGTGTCAGTGGCTTCCACACCTGCCATTTGCTCTCCAAAAAGCACCACTCGTTGCAGCTCCATCCCCGTTGCAGCGGATGACACGGCTCCCGGGTGACACGCCCAGGCCGGCGGGAGGAGCTGGGTTCGTGGGAAGGGCGGGGATTTTGGAGTGGGCGCCAGTGAATTCCAGCTGGGTTCCCAGGAGAGCGTTAGCTTCCCAACCCCAGCTTGACCTTACCATCGTTTACATCCTAGTGAAGTGTCTCCATCACTCATTTCACAAACCCTCCGGGTCTGTTCTGTTAGGGTGGATCTGGGGTCCTGGGGCCCAGTCCTCGCCGTGGCCAACGGGAAAGGCCTGTCGGCCCAGGGCGGTCTCCACGGCTCAGCGCCTGGGCGGCAGGGGCAGAGAGCTGCATCTCTCCGGGAGGGGAGGGAGGCCTGGGGAGAGGGAGTCACACCGTCTGGTCTCACAGTTCTCCAGAGAAGCCCAGACGGAACCAAGAAATATGCCCTTCGCACGGTCAGTCTGGCTAGGCTTCCACACTGCTGAACCGAGCTCACATCCACCCACTTTTTCCTCAAAGCTCTTTCGGAGAGAAAAAGGACACTTGTAACCCTGCAAGCGAGACTCCTACGTCCTGCTCCTTCTTTCGCCCGATAACCCTCTCGGACGTTTACACCATCCAAGTGGAGGCTCAGAACGCGGACGGGACCACGGCGTCGGACGTGACACGCTGGCCCTTAGCTGCCGTAGGTACGTGTCCTTGGACCTCTTCCCTGCTCGCTTCCCAGAGACGCCGCCTCCCCCTTTGTGGTTCGTCCTCTCCTGCGGCATTTTATATATATATATATTATTTTATTGATTTTTTATAGAGAGGAAGGGAGAGGAATAGAGAGCCAGAAACACCAATGAGAGAGAAACATCGACCAGCTGCCTCCTGCACACCCCCTACTGGGGACGTGCTCGCAGCCAATGTATATGCCCTTGACCGGAATCGAACCCGGAACCCTTCAGTCCACAGACCCAACTCTCTATCCACTGAGCCAAACCGGTTTCGGCACCTGCGGCATTTTTTACCACTGACTTTCAGAGAGAGCGAAGTGGGGAGAGACAGAAACATTGTGTGGGAGAGACCCATCTATCTGCCTCCCGCATGGGACTGGGGTTACCTGCAACGGAGGTACATGTCCTTGACCGGAATCGTACCCGGTACTCTTCGGTCCATGGGCTGGCGCTCTATCACTGAGCGTGCCGGCCAGGGCGAGGGGACTTTCTCTATCGGGTATGCATTTGGCTGCTGCGAACAAACCTCTGCTGTTTCCAGAGCTCCGACCAGATCCGCTGAGCGCTCTCTGGGGTGTGTGTTTGTTTTTCGTGTTTCTATGGGGGAACAGAACCTTGGGGGATTTCCTCGCCATCGCTTTGCTGACATCACTCAGTATACATGGTTCCCTCAGCAGTTCCGAGGGTGAAAATTAATGACGCGGTGACACGGCTCCCGGGTGACACGCCCAGGCCGGCGGGAGGAGCTGGGTTCGTGGGAAGGGCGGGGATTTTGGAGTGGGCGCCAGTGAATTCCAGCTGGGTTCCCAGGAGAGCGTTAGCTTCCCAACCCCAGCTTGACCTTACCAGTGCGTCCAGCACCTGGGAGGTGGTCAGAGGAGCTGACGCGATGAGGATGGAGCTGCAACGAGTGGTGCTTTTTGGAGAGCAAATGGCAGGTGTGGAAGCCACTGACACGTGCTCACTCGGTCACTCTGCCCACAGGGGCCTCAGGAAACCACCGAGACCAGCAGAGATGCTGTGTCCCCCCATCCACTCGCTAACAAGCCCCGCCTCCTGGCTCTGTGCCCGCCCAGCCATGCTCTGGGAGCCTTACCGAGAGTCGGGCACCGAATGCGGTGGCAGACGCGGCAGACCAGTTCTGCTCGCCCTTGAGAGGGAACATCGTGAAGCTTGAAACAATTGTGTTCTGAAGACTTTGTAACGGAAGAGAGCGCATATGCTGATTGCATAATTTTATTTAAAAAGAGGAAGCCTCGGTCCAGCTGGCCGCTCAGTGGTTAGGGCGTGGGACTGGAAGGCGGCGGGCTCGATCCCCCGTCAAGGGCAGGTACCTGGTGTGCAGATTCAGCCCCCGACCCGGTTGAGGCCCAAGCAGGAGGCAACCAACCGATGTGTCTTTCTCTCTCTCTTTCTCCCCACTACCTCCCCTTCACTCTCTCTAAAAATCAGTGGGAAAGATCCCTCACTCCTCAGGGGAGGATTTAAAAATTAAATAAAGAGAAAGGCTTTATTTAGCACAATATTAATTTTGTTTGAAAAATATGCCAAGAGTTACATATACTGAGTGGCCAGATGATGAAGATCTCTGAATGCATAATAATCTGGCTACTCAGTGTATATCCTATAGAAAAGGCTTATATGCAAATACTGGAGTTCGACCAGCAGGCAGGCTGGACAACTGCCCATATTCCTGCCCTGGCTAGGCTGGCTGGACCCCACCCAGGCACGAATTCATGCACCGGGTCTCATATATATATATATATATTTGCGTGTGTGTGTGTGTGTGCACGCGTGCGCACGTGTGTGTGGTCAGATTATTATGCATTAAGAGATCATCATCATCTGGCCGCTCAGTGTAGAGAGAAGCCTGAAAAGACACCCGTGTGTTAATAATGGTTATCTCTGGTAGATGGCATTGTGGGTCATTTAATGTTTTCTTTGTATGTTTCTATACTTAGATTTTTTTGAATGAGCATATGTTACTTCATAGCCAGAAAAAAAACACACATTTTTAAAGAGAAAGACTGGGGCAAGAATGTCTGTGGTGCTCAGAGGGGAGGGGAGGAGAGGAGCTTCCTGCGGGCACACCCCCCTCCTGGCGCTGGGGAGAGGCGGAGGGGGGGGGCATGGGAGGGCATGGGGGCAGCCGCCCATTTTCCAGCCCAGGCCCTCTTTTCCGTTCTGCTCCGCACGCCTGGCCGTTGGGAAAGGCTGATGTACAGACAGACCACAGGGGTGTGCTCCCTCCTCGGACACGCCTTCCTCCCATTTCCTGTGGCACCTGCGCCCGCCCCGCCCAGCCGCGCCAGCATCTCCCTCCTGGCGCACTGTCTTCAGTTTGGGGTCGATGTCATGAGCACGCTCTGATCTGCAAATCTGTGATTTTTATTTTCAGCAAAAATGGAAGCACCGGTGATTTCCAGTGTGACACCAGCTCTGGGCGTCAAACGGATGCTTCAGATACAATGGGGCAGGCCTAAGCTGGCCCCCCCCTCGTCCCCGTTAAAATGCCGGCTTCGGTTCAGGACGGCGAACAGCACCCACTGGGTGAGTTGTGCTGCGGGTGTTCCGTCCGGGGCCCAGAGCAGGGCTGCCTGACGCTGCTGTCCACTGGACACGCTCCCTCCTCTCCACGCCGGACGGAGGGGGAGACAGTGCCGCGCCCTCCGCCCGCATTCGGGGGAGCGTCTCACCGCGGGCGCCCGCGTCCCGAGCACAGGGGAGCGTGGAAAGGCCCCTCCTCCGGCCACCAGAGAGGCTGGGGCATAGCTCCTTCCTCTTCCGAGTTAGGAAGCTGTGATATAAAGCGCACCTTTCGCAGAGCGAACAGAACATAATAGGCATTAACAGACTGTCGTTGTCCACTCAACACTGTGAGCTCCTTTCGGGCCTCAGTTCAAACCCTGATGGCGCCTCCCGTGTGGACACGAATGGCCCCGGCCTGCGGGAGGGTCCTCTGTGGACCGACCGCGCAGATGGGAAAGGGTAGGATTCGAGATCGAACGCCACCAGCTCTGTGAGCCGAGAGAGGGTCGGAGTGAAGGAGAGAAATGGAAAGATAACCGGTCTCCACCAGCTCAAAGTCGTCTCTGCCTTGTAGATGCAAGTCAGCTTCCAAGTGGAGGCCGAGAAAAAAACCCACACCTTCAACCTCACGGGGCTGCAGGCCCTCACGGAGTACGAGGTGGCGCTGAGCTGTGCGGTCCAGCAGTCCGCCTTCTGGAGCGCCTGGAGCCCAGTGCACAGAGGAGCCACCGAGGAAGGCGAGTGCCGGCCCCCTCGGCCCTCTACCTGCCCGGGGCGGGCCTGCCCGGGGTGGGTGATCAGGGCCCGGGAAACCCCAGCCCCGGAGCCCGGGTGTCCGGGCTTGTCCTTGGCAGGGTCTCCCCGGCCACAGGCTGAGCCGGGCCCCGGGTGTCAGCCCCGCAGCGGCTTTCTGTCCCGAAGGAAGGCGGAGCCGGCACAGCGTGTTCTCGGGGAAGGTCCTCGCCGGCGGGCGGGCGGGTAATATTCACAACCTCCTGTGACAACCTCAGGCTGCACTGCAGCCCGGAGCTCCTGCCCCAGTTCCTGGCGGGGCTGGCTGGGCGGGAAGGCGCCCTCCGTGACGGAGGGAGGGGGAGGACCCTGGCTGGGTGCCCTCATCGGATCCGCTGTGAGCCCAGCCTGGCGAGGGGCCGGGGCCGGGCGCTGCCCGGAGCCTCCGCGCGGTGCCCTTCCGTGTGCAGCGGAGCCCGTCCAGGCACCCGCTTTTCTGTGTTGGCTCAGAGAGTGCGCCATCCAGGAACGCCAGGCTGCCCTGCGAGGCCCTGTGAGACATGCAGACCCTTTGTAGGGGGAGTGGGGTCAGCTGCTCGGAGGCCCTGGGATGTGCTGCTGTCTGCAAACCGGGAGCCGGCGGCTGACCCGGCCGGCAGCCGGCAGCGTGTGATGGACGAATGCGAGTTTCTCAGGGCAGGAGTCCCGGCTGGTCAGGACAGTTTCCCTGGAGACAGGACGGGAGTCTGGGTGTCCTCGGGGTGGTTTCCTTGGAGACAGGACGGGAGTCCGAGTGTCCTCGGGGTGGTTTCCATGGAGACAGGACGGGAGTCCGGGTGTCCTCGGGGTGGTTTCCTTGGAGACAGGACGGGAGTCCAGGTGTCCTCGGGGTGGTTTCCATGGAGACAGGACAGGAGACTGGTTGTCCTCAGGGTGGTTTCCATGGAGACAGGACGGGAGTCCGGGTGTCCTCGAGGTGGTTTCCTTGGAGACAGGACGGGAGTCCAGGTGTCCTCGGGTGGTTTCCTTGGGGACAGGATGGGAGACCGGGTGTCCTCGGGGTGGTTTCCATGGAGACAGGACAGGTGTCCTCGGGTAGTTTCGATGGAGACAGGACGGGTGTCCTCGGGGTGGTTTCCTTGGTCCCCGCTGGCCGCACTGTGGGGCTGGCCGCCTGGAGGCCAGGTTCCCTCGGGGCCTGGTCTGCAGGGCCTGCCTCCTCCCGTAGCTGCCACGGCTCCCGTGACCTCCTGGCCCGTGTGGCTCAGCCTCCTGCTGTGCATCATAGTCCGGCCAGCCTCTGGCGTCCGCCTCAGCCGCGGGCGGACGGCCAGGATCCAGACGGCCTGGCAGCCGGCCGGGCTGCAGCTGTCGCCGTGGGTGAGGCCGCCCAGCAGGCTCCCGTCTGGGTCCTGGGCTCACACAGTCGGCACACACCCGCCATGTGGCCACGGGAGCCTGTGCCTGTGTTTTCCCTCCCCCCGTCCTCCACACGCCACGGCTCTCACAGGGGGAAGCCAGCACCTCAGACCTCTGTAATAGTTTGGGATTTCCAAGGAAGCACTGCCTGTGTCCGTGTGGATTTCAGCACGTCGCGTGCTCGGGCTTTTACGCGTGTGGAAGCAGGTGCAGATCTTCTGCGTGACACGTGACACAGTCCACTGCTTTACTGCTAGGAGCTGCAGCCCAGGCGGTGTCCTACCGCTGTCCGCACAGACAGAGTGGGCGCAGCCAGCGGCTGGGCCGTGGGCCGGGGGAGGAGCTGGGCTGTGGCCAGGGGAGGAGCTGGGCCGTGGCCGGGGGAGGAGCTGGGCCGTGGCCAGGGGAGGAGCTGGGCCGTGGGAGGAGCTGGGCCGTGGGCCGGGGGAGGAGTTGGGCTGTGGCCGGGGGAGGAGCTGGGCCGTGGCCGGGGGAGGAGCTGGGCCGGGGGAGGAGCTGGGCCGTGGCCGGGGGAGGAGCTGGGCCGGGGGAGGAGCTGGGCCGTGGCCGGGGGAGGAGCTGGGCCGTGGGAGGATCTGGGCCGTGGCCGGGGGAGGAGTTGGGCCGTGGCCGGGGGAGGAGCTGGAACTGTGGGCTTCATGTGTGAGCTCATCTGCATTCCACTGCGATGTGTCTGCCGGACTGAACTGAAGACAGAGCAGCAGTGCCGGCCTGGCAGGGACAGCGGCGGCTGGTTCCAGCCGCGGAGACGGGGTGCCTCCTGGCGTCAGCCCTGCAGGCTGTGGGGAGCCCCTCCAGCCCCCAGCCGGGAGCACTGCTCCGTCGCCCCTCGCAGTCTCCGCTCCCCTGTGCGCGGTCAGGCGACCAGGTGCGGCAGACGCTCAGACGTGAAATGGCGCGTCATCGGAACCGAGCTCCGTGCTCTGTTCACGGGGGTGGCTGCACCTTCCCCCTGAGCTCGCAGGCAGGAAGTCACAGAGCCTTCCCCTGAGCTCGCAGGCAGGAAGTCACTGAGCCTTCCCCCTGAGCTCGCAGGCAGGAAGTCACAGAGCCTTCCCCTGAGCTCGCAGGCAGGAAGTCACTGAGCCTTCCCCTGAGCTCGCAGGAAGTCACAATCTTCCCCCTGAGCTCGCAGGAAGTCACTGAGCCTTCCCCTGAGCTCGCAGGCAGGAAGTCACTGAGCCTTCCCCTGAGCTCGCAGGAAGTCTCAGACCCAGTCAGGAGCATGTTTTCCAGTCCCACAGCCACGCCGTTCCCACCTCACTGTCCGGGCAGCACTGATCCCGCTGCCTCCCCAGGCACTCCCTCCCCGTTACCTCCTCTTCTTCCCCTCCCCTCCCCCCTTCCCCGTGCCCAGCCTGTCTGCTCCCGCAGCTCCCCGGGGCCTGGACCTGTGGAGGGTGCTGGGACCTGCTCAGGAGGACGGGAGCCGCCCGGTGAGGCTGCTGTGGAAGGTGAGAGCCCTGGGGCCTCAGTCTCCGTGTCTTCATAACCCGGGGCTCTGCCACCACAGTCATGACCCGAATCTCCTGCCCAAGAGGCTTTATGATGCCCCAGACCTTCCAGGGGTTTCCCAGCTCAGAGCCTGTAGGTCACCTTATGGGCTAGGGTTAGGATTTAGGATTAGGGTTAGTGTTACAGGTAGGGCTAGGATTAGGGTAAGGATAATGTTATAGAGTTAGAGATATTTAGGGTTAGTTAGGGTTAGGGTTAGGGTTAGGGTTAGGGTTAGGGATAGGGATAAGATTTAGGATTGGGTTAGGGATAATGTTACAGGGTTAGGGTTAGTTAGGGTGAATTAGGGTTAGGATTAGAGATAGGGATAGGATTAGGGTTAGGATTTAGAATTAGGGTTAGGGTTAGTGTTAGGGATAGTGTTACAGGGTTAGGGTTGGGGTTAGGGTTAGGGTTGGGGTTAGGGTTAGGGTTACGGTTAGGGATATGGTTAGGGTTAGAGTTAGGGTTAGGGTAGGATAGGATTAGGGTTAGGGATAGGGTTAGGGTTAGGGTTAAGGTTAGTGTTAGGGTTAGGGTTAGGGTTAGGGTTTTAGTTAGGGTTAGGGTCAGGGTTAGGGTTAGGGTTAGGGTTAGGGTTAGGGTTAGGGTTTGGGTTAGGGTTAGGGTTGGGGTTAGGGTCAGGGATAGGGTTACAGGGTTAGGGTTAGTTAGGGTTAGTGTTAGGGTTAGGGATAGTGTTACAGGGTTAGGGTTACGGTTAGGGTTTGGGTTACAGGGTTAGGGTTGGGGTTGGGGTTAGGGTCAGGGATAGGGTTACAGGGTTAGGGTTAGTTAGGGTTAGTGTTAAGGTTAGGGATAGTGTTACAGGGTTAGGGTTAGGGTTAGGGTTAGGGTTAGGGTTAGGGTTAGGGTTAGGGTTGGGGTTAGGGTTAGGGTTAGGGTTGGGGTTAGGGTCAGGGATAGGGTTACAGGGTTAGGGTTAGTTAGGGTTAGTGTTAGGGTTAGGGATAGTGTTACAGGGTTAGGGTTAGTCAGGATTAGGGTTAGGGTTAGGGTTAGGGTTAGGGTTTGGGTTAGGGTTAGGGTTAGGGTTAGGGTTAGGGTTGGGTTAGGATTAGGGTTAGGGATCAGGTTAGGGTCACCTTGAAGGTCCTGGGGTTGCGTCCAGGCCTGTCCCTTGGCCGGCGGTGGGGAGGCATCAGCAGAGGCACCGGCCTCCAGGGGGAGCTCAGGGCCACCGCAGGCGTTGGCACAGCTGGGCCTCTCCCCCAGGACCTGGCCTGAGAGGGCAGCCATCGAGGGGGGTGCTGGGTGCTGGGTGCCCGGGGGTGGAGAGAGAGAGGAGGCTGGGCCCAGGCCCGGGGTGACCACGGCCAGGACGGTCCTGGCGGCTCTGTGTTTGGTGAGGCTCTGTGTCCGTGTGGGAAGGAGGGAGACACAGCGACAGGAGATGGCGCTGCTCCCTGGCTGCACTCGCCGGCCTCTGGCGCGAGGCCCCATAGCGCTGACGGCCCAGCACCTCCCTGTCCGGCCCCGGGGGTGGGCATCGCCGTGCGGCGCTGCTCCCCAGGAGGGCGCTGCCTCGTGTTGTTCACGCGGGAGCGGAGTCGCCCGCTCCCTCACCCTCCGTCCGGCTCGGGCCTTTCCCCTGTTTGGCAACAAACTAGGTTCCCCGCGCTCAGAGGGCCCTGGAGCGAGCACTCAGCTACCAGGTCTGGTTCTTCCCGGAAAACACCACCAACCTCACGGAGACCCTGACCACCAGCCGCCCGCCGCTGGCGCTGACGCTGGGCGCCGAGGCCTACCGGGTGTGGGTGGTGGCCTCCAACTCGCTGGGCCAGAGCCCGCCCGCCTCCCTGCGGGTCCCGGCCGCCACCGAGGAGGGTGAGTGCAGCGTCACCTGCCGAGATGCCGCTGCCGGGGGTCAGGGGTCGGGTCAGGGGTCAGGGGGCTCACAGCCCTGGAGGAGAGGAGTCACACCCCCCACCAAACCTCGCCCTCACCCGGCTGCAGCGCCAGAGCTCTGGGGGGTGACGGGAGCCCCCTCTCCTGCTCCTCCAGGGCGGGCTCTGGTTCTGAAGGCCCTGGGGGTGGTGGCGGCTGTGGGCGGTGGGGGTGGGCGGTGGGCGGGGAGGCGGGGGCAGGGCTGCCAGGCACACAACCAGGCGGTCTCCTTCTGGTGCTCACAGCACTTTGAATAGACAGAGTGAACTCTGACCCCTGGCCTGGGCTGGAGTGAACTTTGACCCCAGCCTGGGCTGGAGTGAACTCTGACCCTGGCCTGGGCTGGAGTGAACTCTGACCCCGGCCTGGGCTGGAAGCCAGGGCTCAGGTCTCTGGGGCAGGGTCCTTGCGGCCTGTTCCCGGCAGCGTGTCCCGTGGCGGGCAGTTCCCGGGCGGCACCAGGGGCCTTGGATGCGTGTCTTCCTGGGGCAGACGAGGTCTCCCCGGAGGCGGGTTCGAGGCGGGTGTGGGCAGCCTGGGCAGGGGCACCCGGAGCCCTGGGGAGCCTCAGGCTCACTCTGGCCGCGCGGGCGTCCCTGTGACTGAGGGCCCTGCAAGGCAGTCCTCAGTCTCCGCGCCGCAGCGAGGGGCGTTGGGGGAAAAGGGAGGGTCCGAGGCGCCTGGCCATCCGAGGTGGCGAGGAGGGGCGGTGAGGGGGAGGGCACCACACGGGGCCTGCAGGAGGCCCAGCCCCGGCTGCCCCGGCGCGGGTGGGGGCGCTGAGGGGGCGGGGTGCGGGTGCGAGAGGCACTGAAGCTGCGGGGGTGCGGGGGTGCGGGGGTGCGGGGGGCGGGGCGGGGGTGCGGGAGTGCGGGCGGGGGGGCGGGGGGCGGCGGCGGCGGCAGGAACGCATCCCGAGGCGGCCCCCTCCGCCCGCAGCGTTCCGGGGTGTCCAGGCCGTGCAGGCCGGCCCCTCGCAGGCCGGGCTGGTGGTGGCATGGCAGAGCTCCGCTCCGCACGTGGACGCGTGGATGGTGGAGTGGCTCCCGGACGTGGACGCCGAGCCCCCCGCCCCGTCCTGGGCGGCGGTGACCGGGGCCAGGAACTGGACGATCCGGCAAGGTAGCCCGGCCGACGGCCTCCTGGGAGCGGCCGCTCCTCCTCTCTGTCCGTCCTTCCCGGAGGCTCAGGCGGGGGGCGTGGGGCCAGGGGTCCGAGCAGGCGCTCAGAGAGCCCTCCCCAGGCCCCCGACCCTGTGGGTGGCCCCATACGTGGTCCATCTGTCCCACCGGCCCCTCCGGTCTGGCCCCTGTCAGCGCCGGCCCTGCCCGGGGACCGGAGCCGGGAAGGCCTTCCCTCAGGGTGGCCCCGAGCTGAGTGGACGTGAGTGAGGCCGGAGCCGCCCATCCATCTGCCCGAGCTCCTCAGACGTCCCCGTCCCGCGGGCAGGCCTCTGCCTGCTTGACGCCGGCCGAGAGCCGGGCCCCGGGCCCCGGGCCTCAGCTGGGCCGGGGGGGGTGGGGGTGGGAGGGCTGTCTCACGTCTCCTCCCAGGCAGGAGCCGTCGCCTTGTCAGAGGGGCAGCTTTCGTTCTAAGAATCGATTTGGCAATGTTAGGACAGGAATCGATGCGAGGCCCTAACTCCCCATCTTCCAGACGTGGACACGATGAACAGGAGAGCTGGCCGCATCTCCAGGCTGGCGCGCTCTCTGCGCCACGCCCGGCCTGTGACGCTCCTTTCCTCCGTTACAGATGAGCTAACACCCCTCCAGTGCTACAACATCTCCGTGTACCCACTGTGGCAAGACCGCGTGGGCCAGCCGTGTTCTGTCCAGGCCTACGCCAGGGAAGGCGGTGTGTGGGGGTGGCCCGGGGGCGGGGGAAGCACTGGGGCCTGTCCAGCCGCAGCCGATTTCAGAGAGAGAAACATCCGTGATGAGAGAGAATCATGGGTCATCTGCCTCCTGCACGCCCCCCGCTGGGGGATGGAGTCCACAGCCTGGCATGTGCCCGACCGGGACCTCCTGGTTCATGGGTCGACCCTCGGCCACTGAGCCACCGGCCGGGCCACGGCCTGTCTTTGATTGTGCAGCAGGAAGCTGGGTCTTCCCGGCGGGCCTCTCAGCCGGCGCTGTCTTTCTGGGATTACCACCTCCGGCCCCGGGGATCTGCGTCCTCCCGGAGGCCGGGGCGGGCTCGTCCCGTCTGGTACGGGCGGACGACGGGAGGCACGGGCTGGGTGTGGGTCGGAGTGAGGCCGTGAGAGAGTCCTTCCCTCTTCCAGACGCCGAGTCCAGCGAACAGTCCTCGGGGCTGATCCACCGCCACGCGGGCGCGGGTCTGAGCTGGCAGAGCCCGCAGGGGGCGGGGCGCGGGGCGCGGGGCTCACGGCCTCTCCCCCCTCCAGTCCCGGCAGCAGGCCCCGTGCCCAGGGCGGAGGGCATCGGCGTGACGGCCGTCACCATCACGTGGGAGGAGGTTCCCAAGCACCAGAGACACGGCTTCATCCGCAGCTACACCGTGTTCTACCAGGCCGAGGGCGGCGGGGCGCTCGGTGAGCGGGCTCCGGCCGCGTGGGACCGGGGCCCCCGGGAGGGGCCGCCTCCCCCCGCATCCCCGGCTCCCTGGGCCCCTGCAAACGGGCTGGTATCCCCCAACTCTCCCCCGGGAGGGGCCGCCCCCCCCCGCGTCCCCGGCTCCCTGGGCCCCCCGGGGGGGCCGCCTCCCCCCGCGTCCCCGGCTCCCTGGGCCCCCGGGAGGGTCTGGAATCGGGGGAGAGGGCAGGTCGGTCCCTGCGGGTCTGTGGGAACCGGGGTTAACTCGGTTGCTGGTCCGGCTCGGACAGGGCACTCCTGGCCGCATTACCTCCCGGGTGTGGGGCTGTGCCGGCCCGGCCTGGTGGCTGGGACGGTGCGTGGACCCGGGGAGCGCTGTGTGCAGACACCGTGACCCGCTGTGCGCTCCGGGCTGAGCCGGGAGAGGGGCCGGGCGGGCGGCCTCCAGCTGAGCCGTCACAGAGCCCGGGCTTCCCGCCGCGGCCCCAGCAGCAAACGCGGACTGTCTGCACACACACACACACACACACACGCACACGCACACGCACACACACACACTCACACACACTCACACACACACTCACACACACTCACACACACGCACACTCACACACACACACACTCACACACACACACACACACGCACACTCACACACACACACACACTCACACACACACACACACACTCTCACACACACACACACACGCACACTCACACACACACACACACGCACACACACGCACACTCACACACACACACACACACACACACTCTCACACACACACACTCACAAACACACACACTCACACACACACACTCACACACACTCACACACACACACACTCACACACACACACACACACGCACACACACACACACACTCACAAACACACACACTCACACACACACACTCACACACACTCACACACACACACACTCACACACACACACACACACACACACTCACACACACACACACTCACACACACACACTCACACACACTCACACACACACACTCACACACTCTCACACACTCACACACACACTCACACACACACACACACACACTCACACACACACACACACACACACTCACACACACACACACACACAGACACTCACACACACTCACACACACACTCACACACACACACACTCACACACACACACACACTCACACAAACTCACTCACACACACACACACACTCACACACACCCCGTTGGCTGCTCAGAACCCACGCTGCCCTCACAGCACAGCTGCCCTGGAGGAGCTTCCATTGGCCTGTTCTCCAGAGCGAACGGCCCGAGCACGTGGCTGTGCTGTCAGCCTGCTGCGTGTCTTCTCAGGGGGAAGTCTCTGCAATCTCCTGGCCTCTTTAAAAAAATACATTTTATTGATTTCTTACGAGAGGAAGGGAGAGGGATAGAGCTAGAAACACCGATGAGAGAGAAACACCGACCAGCTGCCTCCTGCACACCCCCCACTGGCGATGTGCCCGCAGCCAAGGTCCATGCCCTTGACGGGGATCGAACCTTCAGTCCGCAGGCCGACGCTCCATCCCCTGGGCCATGTCGGTTTTGGCTCCCAGCCCCTGTTTAAGCTGTCTTCCTGTCACTGAGCTGTAAAGGTTTTAAAAAGGTCCTCACACACCTGGCTTCCCGCACACTCCCGCTGGGCCGCCTCTCCGCTCGGACAGCAGCTCCGATGCACGGAGCTGTCAGGCTGCAGTCCCGCCCAGCCCGTTTCTCCGGCCCGCCTTCCCCGGGGGCCTCGGGTCCCTAACGGGCCCTCGGCGCCTGGATGAGCTCGTCTGGAGGAGAAGCGGGTCCCCATGTTCTTACCCGGTCCGCCCGGCTGTGTGTCCCCTTCAGCCAAGACGGTCGGCGCCGGCACCCTGGGGTGCCGCCTGGAGTCCCTGAGGCGCAAGACCTCCTACTCCGTCCAGGTCATGGCCAGCACCAGCGCCGGCGGCTTCAACGGCACCAGGATCACCTTCCAGACGCTGTCCGTCAGTGAGTGCCCTGCTGCCCGCACGCCCGCACGCCCGCCGTTCTCCGGCCCGGACAGGTGCCCCTGGGCGGGCGGGTGCAGGGAGAGGGCCTGGGAGAGGAGAGGAGGGAGGTGGGCAAACCGAGCCGAATTCAGAGACCGGCCATCGGCTCCTTCCTGCTGGGCGGCCCCCAATCGCCGTGAGGAGGCAGTTCCAGTTCCTGCCAAGTTCACCCTCAGCCCCGAACCAGCTGTCACTCAGGGCCGGCCCTCCGGGTCAGAGGTCACGGCCTCGGGGGAGATGGAGGTGGAATGAGCCCATTGGCACGCAGGAAGGGCCTCACCCTCATCGTTGTGGAGCTTTTTAAGCAAAAAAGCACATCCTACGTTCCACGTGCCAGCTTTCACGTTAGAAATGGGAAGCAAGAAAACCTGATGGATGCAACGGAAATATTACACCAACTGGGAGAGCAGAGCTGACGGCTGACTCCTCCGCAGGTGTCCTGGAGGTCTGCCTGGTGGCCGCGCTGGGCGGGGGCGGGCTGCTCGTGCTCAGCGCCCTGGCCGCGGCCTGCGGCCTCCAGAAGCCCAAGTGAGTGTGGGGACTAGGCTGCCGGCCGGAGGCGGTGCCACGCATCCCCGGCACACGTGTGCTCGGGCACACGCACCCCCGGCACACGCATTCCCTGGCACACGCATGCCCCGCACACGCATCCCCGGCACACGCATTCCCGGCACACGCATCACCCGGCACACACATCCCCGGCACACGCATCCCCTGCACACGCATGCCCCTGACACACGCACCCCCGGCACACGTGTGCTCGGGCACATGCATCCCCCGGCACACGCATCCCCGGCACACGCATCCCTGGCACACGCATCACCCGGCACACGCATCCCCGGCACACGCATTCCCTGGCACACGCATGCCCCGCACACGCATCCCCGGCACACACATCCCCGGCACACGCATCCCCCGGCACACGCACCCCCGGCACACACATCCCTGGCACACGCATCACCCGGCACACGCATCCCCGGCACACGCATGCCCGGCACACGCACCCCCGGCACACGCATCCCCGGCACACGCATCCCCGGCACACGCATCCCCTGGCACATGCATCTCCCTGGCACACGCATGCCCCTGACACACGCATCCCCCTGGCACACGCATCTCCTGGCACACGCATCCCCTATCACACGCACCCCCCGGCACACGCATCCCCGGCACACGCATCCCCTATCACACGCACCCCCTGGCACACGCATCCCCCGCACACGCATCCCTGCACACGCATGCCCCTGACACACGCACCCCCGGCACACGTGTGCTCGGGCACATGCATCCCCCGGCACACGCATCCCCGGCACACGCATCCCTGGCACACGCATCACCCGGCACACGCATCCCCGGCACACGCATTCCCTGGCACACGCATGCCCCGCACACGCATCCCCGGCACACACATCCCCGGCACACGCATCCCCCGGCACACGCACCCCCGGCACACACATCCCTGGCACACGCATCACCCGGCACACGCATCCCCGGCACACGCATGCCCGGCACACGCATCCCCCGGCACACGCATCCCCGGCACACGCATGCCCGGCACACGCACCCCCGGCACACACATCCCCGGCACACGCATCCCCTGGCACATGCATCTCCCTGGCACATGCATCTCCCTGGCACACGCATGCCCCTGACACACGCATCCCCCTGGCACACGCATCTCCTGGCACACGCATCCCCTATCACACGCACCCCCGGCACACGCATCCCCCGCACACGCATCCCTGCACACGCCCACTGCGCCCCACACCCCACACAGAGCTCTGAACCGACAGAGGACCCTCCCCCACGGCCTCCGGAGGCGGCCCCCGTGTGGGCAGCCACGGGCCGTCTGACCAGGGGCACTGCTCCCCAGGCAGAGCCAGGGTGCTGACCCTGCTCCCCTGAGTCAGGGCGTTGGCCACCGTGTGTGGGCACCAAGGCTCCCAGCAGGCGGGCAGAGCCGCGGGCGGGCACCAACAGGGAGGGGAGCTGTCTCCGGGCGCCGTGCTGCTGCCCCGAGAGCCTCCTGCCTCAGGGAGCTCAGGCTCCTTCCGGAGGCCTCCATCTCCTGCGGCCGGCAGTCACCATCCGGCCAACCTCAGCCGCTGCCCCCCCAGCTCCAGGCAGACTCAGTCTGACAAGCCCGGACTGCTGTGGCCGGGACCCGCCCTGACACTCCCTGGCGCCCTAGCATGCTCCCCGACGCCACCCCGGAGAAGGCCCTGGGGGAGCAGGGGGAGGGCTGTGAGGGGCAGGTCTCTCCCCCAGGTCCCCGCGTGACTTCATGTCACCCCCATGCAGCTTCGCTTCCCCCGTCTGAGCCGGAGCGGGCTGCCCTTCTGTCCCAGGAGCCACGCAGCCCCCCGGACACACACACGCACACGCACGCACGCACGCACGCACCCCGTGCACACGAGGCTCCCGGACTCAGCGTGTTGGAACCCTCCTCCCAGGCTGAAGCACCTGTGCTGGCCGGACGTCCCCAACCCTGCCCGGAGCAGCCTGGCCGCGTGGCGAGGCGGGAGCCTCAAGGTGAGCGCCTGTCTGCCCGCCCGCAGGCCACTGAGCGCGGCGGGGGGCGGGGGGCGGGCTGGCCAGCTTCAGACCGAGGGCAGGGGCGCCCAGGGACCCCCAGGCGGCGGGGCGGCGGCCTTCCGGAGCCCTCTGACATTCTCTGGGTGGAGAAAAGGGGCGTGGCGGGGCCTCGGGGCCCAGCGCAGGCCCCTCCAGGTGGGGAGCGGGAGGACAGCAGGTGCCGGAGCCTGGAGGCCGAGGGGGCCGTGTGTGCGGCGTCCAGGAGGGGGCGCCCCCTTCCTCCCGGCGGGACGGTGTGATCGCACTGGGACCTGCAGGGGCTTCCTCGCGAATAGACATCGCCTTTCTCATACGCTTTAACCGGAAGACGGCCCTGAGAGTGTTACGGCTGATTTCCTTAAGAAAAATAAGCCAAGCCAGACCCAGCCTTCACCTCCTCACCGCCGAGCGCGTTTGCAGCAGCCCTTGTGCAGGATCTAACATCAGCCTGTGTCCACCCGTCACCGCGGGCGTCTGCTGTGGGCATTGCACACACTGTCTTCACGGAGTTGTTTTAATTCTTGTTCTGATCTCTGTCTTCTCCTGGAGCTGACCCTGTTTGTTCCCGCCCGTTAAGTTGCCAGGAGAGTGAGTGGCTCACAGGCAGCGCTGCCGGTGCCAATGCTGTTGGAGGATCTCAGGTCCGGCCGCCGCGGCAAACACTGCCTGCCTCTCGCCGCACAGGCGCCGGGCCGGGGCTGGGGCAGGTGCCGGGGCTGGTGCGGGGCCAGGGGCTGCGATGCCCGGGTGACGGATGACATGGTCCCTGCAGGGCCACCTTGCGCTGCGGGCGATGTGGGACCTGCCATTGTTTATGACCGTGGTTTTCCATGTGAGAGCCCTCGGTGGCGCTCTCTTGGAGCTGCGGTGTGCACAGGATTGTGGGAAATGGCCTGGGAGTTGCTGGAAGGCAGTGTGTCTCTCTCCGGCAGGGGGACGGGCACGTGGCGGGAGGGGCCCCCACTGGTCTCTCGGAGGAACGTGGAGGCGTGGGGTGTCCCGGGCCCATCGGGCTTTGGGTGACTCATCTTTAGTCCCCAAATGACCCCTGGGGTGCCCTTTCTTCCAGGGTAAGCCGAGCCCGAAGGAGGTGGACGATGCCCTGAGCACAGAGGACAGCGCTCTCAAGCCCAGTGACCTCATTGACAAGTTGGCGGTGAACTTTGAGAATTTCCTGGAAGAAGTTTCCACAGAGGAAGCGGGAAAGGGCCAGGAAAGCATGCTGGGAGGGGACACGAATGAGTACGTGACCTCCCCCTTCAGGCCTTACTGTATCCTGAAGCCGTTCACTGAGGCCGAGGCCCCGCCCACTGCTGCCGAGGCCCCGCCCACTGCAGCTGAAGTCACTCCCACTGCAGCTGAAGTCACTCCCACTGCAGCTGAGGCCCCGCCCACTGCAGCTGAAATCCCACCCACTGTATCTGAAGGCCCGCTCACTGCTGCCGAGGCCCCGCCCACTGAAGCTGAAGTCCCGCCCACTGCAGCTGAGGCCCCACCCACTGTATCTGAAGTCCCACTCACTGCAGCCAAGGCCACGCCCACTGCAGCCGAGGCCCCGCCCATGGCAGCCGAGGCTCCTCCCACTTCACCCAAGGCTCCGCCCACTGTGGCCGAGGCTCCGCCCAGAGAGCCCCAGCGCCTGTGCTCTGGCAGCCGGGAGGGCACCAGCCCGGAGGCTGAGGAGCAGCTTGTCCCTTCCGCCCGGCGCCCAGGGCCCGCCAGCGCCTGCCAGGAGGGGGCGCCCACCCCGTACCTGAAAAACTCCGTGACCACCAGGGAGTTCCTCGTGTCTGCGGAGCTTCCCGACCAAACCAAGAGAGCCACCTAGCGGCTGCCGGCGGCCCCGCTGCGTGGGCGGCTGCAGAGGGGCCTCCCCGCCGGGCGTCTGCGCCCATCGGCTGCCAGGAGGCTCCCTGCCCCTGAGGCCAGAGGCCAGAGGTGACCGGAGGGACGGGCTGCAGAGCCCCGCACTCGCCCAGGAAAAGCCTGTCGCTCCGTTTGCTCCGAGAGAAGCTCCTCTGCGGCGGGCAGCCGCGCCTGGGGGGCGGGGCCCGGGGCCGGGTCTGGTCCCCGGGCCTCACCTCAGCGTCCGGACACACTTCCGTGGCCAGGCCGTGGCCTCGGTGGCGCCTGGGCGGGCGGATGGGAGGGGCGTCTCCATCACCCGGCCCCGGGCCCGGCAGCCCCTCTCCTCGGCCCTGGGACTCAGCCGGGTCCCAGACGTCCCCGATGTGCCACTTTGAAGCTCCAGCCCATAGCAGCACCCGCAGCCTGGCCCGCGCCCACAGCGCCCGGTGCTGCCCGATCACGGCGACTCCTGGGCACCGGCTCCTGGCGGGCCAGCGGGTCTGCCCAGCCGACACCGTCAGGGCCCTCTGCCCCCGTGGTGCCCCGAAGCCTGTGGCAGAGAGACACCCACATTCAGAGGCCTTGCTGCCTCGGAGGCGGGCACGCCGGACAGACACGCCCTGGGGCCTCGGCCCAGCACAGCTGCTGCCTCCACAGCAGCCCCTGTCCGTGCCCCGGGGAGCCCAGAGCTCGAACCCCTGACAGGGTGGGGCCTGAGCCTCTGAGTGGACAGCAGGGGTCAGCTCCCTGACCGGGGACTGGGCTGGTGCAGGCTGGCCTGTGGGTGCGGCAGAGCGGCTGGCGGCATGTCCTCCCGGGAGGGGTCAGTGCCGCGGGCGGGACCTCCTGCCGCTGCTCGCTGTGCAGACACTTCATCCCGTCCCCGTCACTGACAGCCTGGCGAAGGCCTGGCACAGGGGGACCAGCTGGCCGGGCTCCGGGCGCTCGGTCTGTGACTCAGGCGTGCTCTGGGCCCATCCTGAGGGGTCAGTGGGAGGTGGGAGTGTCCAGGGGGTGTCTGCCCACGGCTGGTGTCGGCCGTGGCTGCCCGGCACCGGGCACAGGCCGGGGGGGGGGGGGGTGCTCCCAGCGCGCCCTCCTCATTCCTACTCGGTCTGCAGCCCCGTCTCCTCCGCTCCCAGACAGCGCGGCCGGCGGGGAGGGACAGGCAGGCACTGGGACCCGCCCACGGCTCTGGGGCCAGAACGGGACCAAGCAGAGGGCACCCCGACTCTGGGCTGTGGCAGGCTCTCCCCGACCCCCACCCCCACCCCCACCCCACAGTGTGACTAGGCGCTTCTGTGAACCCCTGCCCCCCCCCCCCCCCCGAGATCCCGGTGCCCTTTGCGCCTTTGGATTGAGATCTTGGGGGGTCCAGCCTGGTGCCCATGCCTCTCTCTCCTGGGCATTTTTGCTGGGCACCTCCAGCGGGGGACGCCTCCCATTCTGCGTGCGGGAGGGGGCCTGGGGGCGTGCCTGGAGGGAAGAGGAGGGTGCGTGGAGGGTGCTCCCCACTTGTCCGTCTACCCACGAGGCTCTCAGAGCTAAAATCTAAGAAGCTGACAGCTGGGCAGAGAGGGGCTCCAGGGCCCGTGAGTGGGTTACCTCTGCCGTCCCCCAACCCTGCTGCACCCTCCACCTGGCCCTCTGGCTTCCGCTGCGGCCAGCAGCTGGTTTCTGTGGCTCCTCCTCTTCTCTTCTCCCCACCCCTCCCGCCCCGCCCCGTTCCCATCAGCTCCCCTGAGCTTCCCCAACACCAGCTGCCTGGGGCGGGGACACGGCGTCTGGTTCGGGAAGCTGGCCCGGCGGTGCCATGGTCGGCGTGACCACCAGTCAGAGGGCGACTTCCCAGGAACCACAGGAACGCGCTCCGGCTGCTGGGAGCCGGGTCCCAGGCACAGGCCGCTGTAGCTTCCCGTCCCGGACTGACGGGGTCACAGGCCATCCCGGCCCAGCGCCCAGGCGGCCTCTGGAGACAGCCATTCACACGCTCTGCTCCCGACGGGGCACTGGGGACGAGAGGACGCTGACCACTGTCCGCTGGGCCCTGCAGGCAGCTGGGGCCTGCGGCCTGGCTCTGCCCGATCCCAGGAGCGGTTAGGAGGTGCGGAGATGTCCTCTGGCTTCTCAGAGGCAGCTGCGGGGGGACGGGGAGTGTGGGGGGCGGGGGGGTCTGCATGTCTGCCTGGGCCTTCCTGCGCCCGCCTCCGAGCTGCGGCATGTTCCATTCGTGGCTGGCGGTTTCTCGGGTCCCTGCCTCCGCTGGCCCGTATCTGGGGTTCTGCTCGGGCGGCCACTGCCTGCACCCACCGTGCTGGAGCCCTGTGGTCCCTCACTCTCTGGGCCACCTCTGAGCCGCCATGCACCCTAATAAACTCAGAAAGTCGCCGGTTTCTCTCACACCAGACAGCTGATTGCGGGGAGGGGCTCGGAGGGCCTGGCTCGGGCGTTAGAGGGTGGTCTGCGGCTGGGGCGTGGCAGCGTCCGGTGCCTGTTACTATGGAAACGCCGTAGCGACGGGGCTGGTGTAACCGGGTGTGTGGTCTGTGCGATGGGGGAGGATGCGGTGACGGAGGCCGCGGGTCCTCGCTCCCGCGCTCAGGCTGGGCCCGGGTCAGGGGGTCCCAGAAGCACCTGCTGCCTGCAGGAGCCGCCGGCTCAGCACCCACCGGCCGGACCGCGCGAGGTGCAGGCCTGTCACTCTCAGAAAGGCACCGAGTGGGACCTTCTCCACAAGGGGCGGTTCCTGCTCGGACGCCGAAAGGAGACCCGGTGCATGTGCCACGCTGGTTGTTAGAGCGAGCCTCCTGCCCCAGGGACCGGGGCCTGGCCAGCCTCCCCCCAGGACCCCACTGCCCCAGGACCCCACTCCCCCAAGACCCCGCTCCCCCAAGACCCCGCTCCCCCAGGACCCCACTGCCCCAGGACCCCGCTCCCCCAGGACCCCACTTCCCCAGGACCCCACTCCCCCAGGACCCCACTCCCCCAGGACCCCGTTCCCCCAGGACCCCATCCCCCCAGGACCCCATCCCCCAGGACCCCACTCCCCCAGGACCCCGTTCCTCCAGGACCCCATCCCCCCAGGACCCCACTCCCCCAAGACCCCACTCCCCCAAGACCCCGCTCCCCCAGGACCCCGCTCCCCCAGGACCCTGCTCCCCCAGGACCCCATCCCCCCAGGACCCCACTGCCCCAAGACCCCGCTCCCCCAGGACCCCACTGCCCCAGGACCCCGCTCCCCCAGGACCCCGTTCCCCCAGGACCCCACTCCCACCGGAACCCTGCTCCCCAAGGACCCACACCCCACTCCCCCAGGACCCCGCTCCCCCAGGACCCCGCTCCCCGAGGACCCCACTCCCCCAAGACCCCGCTCCCCCAGGACCCCACTGCCCCAGGACCCCGCTCCCCCAGGACCCCGTTCCCCGAGGACCCCACTCCCCCAGGACCCCACTCCCCCAGGACCCCACTCCCCCAGGACCCCGCTCCCCCAGGACCCCGTTCCCCGAGGACCCCACTCCCCCAGGACCCCACTGCCCCAGGACCCCACTCCCCCAGGACCCCACTCCCCCAGGACCCCACTGCCCCAGGACCCCACTTCCCCAGGACCCCACTCCCCCAGGACCCCATCCCCCCAGGACCCCACTCCCCCAGGACCCCACTCCCCCAGGACCCCGTTCCTCCAGGACCCCACTCCCACCGGAACCCTGCTCCCCAAGGACCCACATCCCATCCCCCAGGACCCTGCTCCCCCAGGACCCTGCTCCCCCAGGACCCCATCCCCCCAGGACCCCGCTCCCCCAGGACCCCACTTCCCCAGGACCCCACTCCCCCAGGACCCCGTTCCCCCAGGACCCCACTCCCACCGGAACCCTGCTCCCCAAGGACCCACACCCCACTCTCACCAGGATCCGCTGGGCCTACACACCACCCGCCCCCCAGGACCCCACTGGGCCCATCCCCATCCCCCCAGGATCCCGTTCCCCCAGGATCCACACCCCACTCCCCCAGGACCCCACTGGGCCCATCCCCATCCCCCCAGGATCCCGTTCCCCCAGGACCCCGTTCCCCCAGGATCCACACCCCGCTCCCCGCTAGGCCCGCCCCACCCGCCGGCTCCCTCATTCACTCCTCTTGGCGCTTCTCCAAGCTCCTCCCAGCCCCCCTTCCCTCCCAGTGCCCCCCCCCCCCCCCCGCTCCCGCAGGTGCCATGGTCCCCGCCTCAGGAGGCCGGACTCCAGGGCTCCCTCCCCACTGGCCCCTCAGCCCTGAGCACGCTCTGGCCACCGGTGCTCCGGCCTCCGCTCTCCCCGCTCCTCCGCCCGCCCACCAGCGCGGGCCACAGGCAGCTCTCCAGAAGAACTTTCTGGAAGTGGAGACAGCAAGGCGATGGGAGCGGGCAGGGATGCCTGACACCAGCCTGTCCCCTCAGCTCGGGCTGAGCTCAGCCGAGGCCCCACCCAGGCCTCGCCGGGCGTCTGGAACCTTCTGGGAGCCAGAGCCGCCGCGTTGGTGAGCTTCTGGGTGTGCGTCTGAGACCCAGTCCAGGGCGCCGACGGGAGCCCAGCCGGTGGAGGCGGGCCACCCTGCCCTGGTGGAGGCCTAGGGACGGCCCTTCCTGTGGGCACGTGGTCCCGGTGGCCCGGCTCCAGACGAGGTGCTAAGAGCAAACCTGGAGGTGCGACTGGGCCCCAAAACCCAAAGCAAGTGGGGGGCAAGGCCGAGGGGCCAGACCTGACCTGGCCTTAGCCCAGGCCTCTCTGCTGAGTCCTCTTCCACAGGAAGCGGCCGGAGGAGGCAGTGGCCGAGGGCGGGGTGCCGGCCTGAGTGGCCGAGGGCGGGGTGCCGGTCTGAGTGGCCGAGGGCAGCCCTCGGGTCCGGCTCCCCCAGCCCGGGGCCTCCAGGACACGCAGGGCTCAGGAGGAGGAGGCCCGGCCAGGCTTCCCCACGGGAACCCCGAAGCTGACGCTGACGGTGCCGGTG